CTAGTAGCTTCTTGTTACTACTAGTAAGGCACTTGTTTCTAATAGCAAACATTGCTACTACCAGTAAGGCACTTGTTACTAGTAGCGTGGCACTTGTTCCTAGTAGCTTCTTGTTACTACTAGTAAGGCACTTGTTTCTAATAGCAAACATTGTTACTACCAGTAAGGCACTTGTTACTAGTAGCGATGCACTTGTTTCTGGCGTTGACACACATGTGCCAAAGGCCTAGAGCAAGCATGTTGTTGCATGGAAGAACACCTAAGTTGGCAAATGAATCACCCCAAACAAAAGCCAAAAACAACGGTGCTGGTGCTGTTGCAGGCAGCAATGGAATCACAGAAGGCAAGTATGAAGAAAAGCAATGGAACAATTTGGGCAACCTCATGGTACACCTTTCAGTTGTACGGCATGAAGCAGCCCTTTAACGAAAAACCAGCTCCTTCGCGTGTGCCATACAATCAATTCTACCGCTCTACCAAACATGTAGCGATGCCCTTTGTTCCTAGTAGCGAACATTGCTCCTAGTAGCGATGCCAGGAGCCCCTAGTAGCGTCCTTGCTCCTAGTAGTAAGGCCAGGAGCCCCTAGTAGCGCTTTTGCTCCTAGCTCTCTCTTTATGCCGAAACAACCATCAGTTCTCTTTGGTGGATGCAACCCACAGCCCCCCAAATCCTGCCTGCAGCGGCGGTAGCATTGGAAGTGCAAGGCCTGGATCCTCACCGGGAACATCGTCGGGTGCTTTTCTCCCAACAAAAACGTGTCCCAAGAATTTGTACCGTGTTCGGCCGTCTTCGGCAAAAAAGGGTATCTTATCTTTAACATATCTTTACATAACGTCCATGCCCAGTAGATCCTAGTAACAAAGGGCATCGCTACTAGGAGCAAGGGCGCTACTAGTAGCTCCTGGCCTTACTGATTACTAGGAACAAGGGCATCGCTACTAGTAACAAAGGGCATTACTGCTAGTAGCATTCTTGCTATTAGTAGCAAGAAGCTACTAGGGGCTCCTGGCCTTACTACTAGGAGCAAGGACGCTACTAGGAGCAAAGGGCATCGCTAGTAGGAACAAGGACGCTATCAAGTCTGAAACGTTCGCTCCTTGACGCACAAGCACAGAAGTGTGTCGGTGAGAAGTGGCCTTGGCAGCTTCGGTTCAACACTTTGTATTCTTGCTCCTAGTAGCTTCTTGTTACTACTAGTAAGGCACTTGTTACTAGAAGCGATGCACTTGTTTCTAGTAGCTTCTTGTTACTACTAGTAAGGCACTTGCTACTAGTAGCGATGCACTTGTTACTAGTAGCGAAGGAATCTTTTCTGAAAGAAAACTTTGTATTCATGACTTGTTGGCGGCCGCTTCTAGGACTTGTTGGTGTGCCAACTGCCAGGGCACACAATGGCGCTGCTTAGCGCTGATCTCAGGAAGGCTTGTCGTGGGTCACCTCAGACAGCAAGGCAATAGCCTTTAGAAGAAACCAACCGTTCAATCCAATTTTCGGCTGGTCCATTCCATCCATGTCTTGGCTTGGTTTGTTGAATCGTACAGGATGCTCGGGATCAAACCCCGGTAACCCCCAGCCGGGCTGTCCTTTCCCTGACTTTCTGCCATGGTCACATGCCCCAACCCAACCAGTGTCCAGTAGCGATTTGCTCCGTTCGTAGCGATGCCAGGAGCCCCGTTCGTAGCGTCTTTGCTCCTAGTAAGGCCAGGAGCCCCGAACGTAGCATCCTTGCTCCGTTCGTAGCAATGCAGTTGTTACTAGCCTTTTCAACTTGCACGGTGAGACGGAGAGTTCGGAGGTAGCTCACCCTCGACGACGGTCAAAGACAGCTTTGGCCTTTCCCGTTGCCCAGGCGTCGCCAAGGCCGGTCTCTCTGGACGATCTACATGGGAACACGCTGTGGGAAGTCTCTATGCTCTCTTTTCGAAGGATTTGGATGACACGAGGTGTGCCAGGCGGTGTGCCAGGCAGGAAGGGTCTCCTTGGTGTTCGCCAAATCTCAAGCTGCCCAACATCTTTTGAAGATGTTTGGCCTTTAACTTTGCTGGACTACAGCACAAATGAGGTGGAATGTCTCATTTCAGGAGCTTCTCATGTGACATGTGTGTGTGTGTGTTCCTTACCGCCAAGGACTCATTGAGATTCTTCTGGACTGAAAGAAGAAGCCTTGCTTTGTAACTTTACGCAAATCAACTCTTACAAACCAAAGACCTGCACAGTGACGCGACTGTAACCCAACTCACTCGAGGTTGAAGAGGTCAAAGTTCGGCAGAGTCAGCTTCACGGTGGGGAAGGGTTTACGACCTCCAAGTTCGGCACTCAGCTCTCGGCCGACTCCGACCCCGCCGACCCCGCCCTGGATCAAGGAAAGACCCGGAAATCATGAAACAGGATAGCCTCCTTTACTACTAGCTTCTTGTTACTACTAGTAAGGCACTTGTTACTAGAAGCGATGCACTTGTTACTAGTAGCTTCTAATTACACTTAATTCAAATTAAACATGTTCAGGTTTCGATGTCCAGGTTCGCTTCAAACAAATCTCGAGGAGGGCTCCAACAGACGTTGGATCCTCTCAATCACTGAGCAAGAAATTCGAGATTCACTAACATCCCTTCAAAACATAAGAAAACAATGGAAAACGCCCCTTCTGGATACAGGTTTTGGAATTCCATTGAGGCTTGTTGCAATTCTACAGGATTTTCATGGAATTGCCTTCACGTAGAGGGAAAAGCCGAGGATTGGAACTGTAGAGCACGTCCTGGCTACGACAAGACGCTCTGGACACCACGAAGAAGTGCATTCGTGGCCGGCACACTTTTACAAACAAGAGTCTTATAGTAGCGTCCGATCGCTCCTAGTAGCAATGCCCTTTGTTCCTAGTAGCGTCCTTGCTCCTAGTAGCAAGACCAGGAGCCCCTAGGCCCTAGTAGAGTCTTACTCAGTGTTGCCGTCGAATTAAAACCCGTCTCAAGTTCGTGGTCTTCCAAAAATCAGAAACGCTGTTCCTAGATGCAAAGGCTCTTAGCAGCTCACCTTAGGTCTTGAACTGAAGTACCACCCTAGGTCCTTGCCTGTGGTTAGCAGTCTTGACTTTTGTTGGCAAAGAGTGCTGATTTTGAAACACTCCAGTGCTGGCAACTCTAGTGCTCTGCTTTTCCAACAGCAAGCTCTGCAGCGCCGCCTCGTGCATAAACAGCTCATCACCCTCATAGTATTCATCACCTGCAGTGGACAAACCAGCTTAGAATATGAACAATGAACTATGATAATGAGCTATAGAAACTCTGTCACCTCAAAAAACACGCCGAGCAAAAGCCTTAAAGTCGAGTCCAACTTTTTGGTTGCACTCACATTGTTTACCTTCCCAATGCTCATTGAACTCCCATTACAAGCACGAATGATTCTTGTAAGGCCTCAGTTCAGTGCTTTCTCCTGTCCAACAAAACTAACTAACTCCCGTGTTTTTCAAAGTTTTTCAAGTTATATCCGATTCTATCCACCAGCACACAACAGCACACCGGCTGGGCTGTCCCGGCGCACACCAACTAAATCTGGTGTGGTGCGCAACACTGGGAGCGAGGTGCTCGGCTGAAGCAGGCCTTGGTGCCGCGACTCGCTTGAAGCGAAGACTTGACACTGAGTAGGACCACCATAGCGATGGCCTTTGTTCCTAGTAGCTCTTTTTAAAGCCCGGGGCGGCGGGTAGGCCGCTGGGAGGGAGAGGTAGTAGCTAGGGGTAGCTACTCTAGCTAGTAGCTTACTTAAGCTGCCCTTGTTACTACTACCGTTGGCCTCTAACCTAATAGCAATGAATAGGACCAGAATGCTCAGTGCTTGCACTACAAGCACTATATGCTTGCATTCTCCGCTTGCTTCGCTTAGTGCTTCTTGCACACTTTCTGTGGCCGCTCTGCCTGCTATGCCACGCTTCCGACGACCCCCTTCACGGCCTTCACTCACTCCTGCAGGCTGACAAGTCAGGCGTGAACAGCTCTCACAACAGAAACACCTTATTTGTTTAACCTTAGGAGAAAAAGGCGGAATGGCGACGTCTCGCCTTGCCCTTTGTTACTAGTAGCTTCTTGCTACTAAAAGTAAAGCGATGCCAGGAGCTACTAGTAGCGGCCTTGCTCCTAGTAGCGATGCCCTTTGTTCCTAGTAGCTATTTGTTACTAGTAGTAATGGCCTCCAACCTATTTAATAGCTTCGAGCTAGTAGCATCCTTGCCTTCCTAATCAACTGCGCCACATGAAATAAGGATTCTGATAGAATGCACGGCACCTGGCTTCTTGACCTCCCGGTTCACCGGCGGAGGCAGCGCCACTGCGGCTTTAGGCCGCAAGGGGCCGGTCCTGCGACCCGCCCAACAATAAAGGAAACAAAACAATATCAAGAAAACAACTAATAGCGATGGCCTCCAACAATATCAAGAATAAAACATAGAACACTACATCAAAAACATATATATCGGAAACCGCGTCAAATCGACGTTCCTAACTCAAGCTTACGCGTAAGAAAAGTGTACAGTGTACAGGTTAAAAAAACAGAAAAAAACAGGCGATTGTGGAGATCGCTACTAGGGGCTCCTGGCCCTACTACTAGGAGCAAGAAGCTACTAGGGGCTCCTGGCCTTACTACTAGGAACAAAGGACGCTGTAATGAGTGTTACTCAGTGCCAGTAAAAAAGGCCCAAAGGCCCCACCTCCGCCATCTCAACGGCTTCGGTGGCTTCGGAGTGTCCATCACTTCCACCCTCGGCACCCATCTTCGCATGCCTCTCTTTGTGTTGCTGTTCGGTAGACCCGTTTTTGTTGTCCCTCTCTTTCCATCTCCCTCTGACAAATCTATAAGTTGATTGAGATAGAACATCCAAAAGTCTCCAGACAGCTTTCTGCAAACTGTGAGGTGCAACACCGCGTAAAGGTTTTTGCTAGTCCATCATGACTCTCACCACTGGCTATCACTACAGGATCGGTCCTATGGATGATATTGTCAGTTTTACCTACGCCGAATCTGTGGATGCCACTGCGATTAGGAACAAGAAGCTACTTAGTAGCTCCTAGCATTACTACTAGATACTACTAGCAACAAGAAGCTACTAATTAGGTTTGAAGGCCATTGCTATTAGTAGCGTCCTTTGCTCCTAGTAGCGCTGCCCTTGTTCCTAGTAGCTTCTTGTTCCTAGTAGTAAGGCCAGGAGCCCCTAGTAGCGTCCTTTGCTCCGTCCGTAGCGTCTGAGGATCCAGGCACTTCATCCAGGATCGCCACGGGCCCGGACCCCTGTCCATCTTCGAACGCTAGTAGTAACAGGTGCCTTACTGGTAGTAAGGAAACAAGTGCATCGCTAGTAGTAACAAGTATCCATCTTCGAGGCCGGTCGGACTCGTCTCGTCGACCCGGCTCGGCTCGGCTCCGACTCGGCTCTGACCCGTGAGACCAGGAGCTACTACTAGCGATGCACTTGTTCCTAGTAGCGATGCACTTGTTCCTAGTAGCG